CGGCTTACACTCCGTCTCCTTATTCCTATGTCTATGGTTGCGCTTTTCTCGAACCCTCTACTCCAGCGCTCGGAATTAGTTGCACATTTCGGGCCGATTTCCGAGACATCTCCTGTTCCCCCACTACCGCTCGGCCGCTGGCGGCCGAGCGGTAGTGGTGGAACAGGAGGCATCGTCTCGAAAATTGGTTCGAAATGTGCAACTAATTCCGAGCGCTGCTCTACTCTATCTATCCATTGGATAGTATCCAGTCTTCTCTGAACGCGTCGACACGTCACGTAATTCTTTTGATTGACTGATTTTGTCGCACAAGGACCCGCGAGAACTTTTTATTTATTAATAAGTTATTGTAGTTTCGTTCTTGTTTTATGCAATGAGTGACAATCGCAATATTAACAATATTATCAAAAATGATTCCGATTGGGTAAGTAAGTTGTAAGTCGCACGATTCTGTGAGACTTTCTAATCGAACTTCTTTTTGTTTCATAACTTATTTCTTTGTACTACATTTTGAAAAATGTCTTTTTATTTTGTGACAATAATCGCAATATCTAATATCCAGTGTCGGTTTTAGAATCAGTTCGCCTTTGGGCAGTTTTCGGGGTGGATTTCCAAAAAGCTATCACCCTCGATTTTGCTGATAGCCTAAATATTTATTTTATCTAGTAAATAATATTCCTAAATGGATTTTTGGCGCAAATGTCCCCTTTGCCCCCAGCCCCCCTTAAAGGTAAAACTGTTTTTGTTAATTATTTAAGAAAGTATTCATTGTACGGAAAAAGTTATCAAACAAATAATGAAACTCATAATAAGCTCTACAAATAAGGTCCTATACATATTTTACCTAACTCCAATATTTTAGTCATTATTATCAAAAAAACTTGTAAAAACCCCCGTAGGTGGGGCGGCTCACTGCATCCACGCATACACTATACAACGCGAAGCGAGGTCCCACGTGGGTTTATGAGTTTCTATGCAAAGCGAGATTCAATCCAAACGCTATGTGTATAGTTTTTTGATGGTGAGCCCTCTGCAGAGGACGGAACACACTGCCTCAATACATACACTTTTCACGCGAAGCGAGGTTTCACGTGGGTTTACGAGTTTCTACGCAAAGTGAGATTCAATCCAAACTCTATGTGTATAGTTTTTTGATGGTGGAGCCCCCCGCAGGGAGACGGAACACATTGCCTCCAGATTTTTGATAATAACGACTAAAATAATGGAGTTAGGTAAAATATGTATAGGACCTTATTTGTAGAGCTTATTATGAGCTTCATTATTTGTTTAACAACTTTTTCCGTACAATAAATACTTTCTTAAATAATTAACAAAAATAGTGTATAGTTTTATCTTTAAGGGGTGCTGGGGGCGGAGGGGACATTTACGCCAAAAATCCATTTGAAAATATTATTTACCACATAATAAGTAATTTCGCTAAAAATTAGCAAAATTGGGGGTGATAGTTTTTCGGAAGCTTATCCGTATTTCGCATCCTTTGCATTTTTTAATTTAAGATGGGAAGGTATCAAATAAGTGAAAATCATGTTAAATTTTTTTAAATTTTTATTTACTTTGTAAACAAAAACAATAGCGAAGAAATAAAATATAAAGATAAATAACATATAAGTTAAATCAATAAAATAATATTAAATTAATATATATTAATAGGCATCTCGAGCCATCGCTGGATGTTAGTGTGAAAATTATTAATGTTTTTGTATAGAAACTTAATTTGTCTACTAGAGACATTATTAAAGTGTACACTGATCTCGGATTCGAGATACTAAAGTGTACGAAAATTACATACATTGGCTTAGTTTACACCAATTGTTTAATACGCGTACCAAGTACTAAATCTGCTTCTTTGATTGGTGTAGATTTCACACTAAACGATTTATACCTATCGGAGAAGCAGATTTAGTACTTAGTACACGTACTAAACAATCGATATAAACTAAGTCATTGATCTCATTTTCAATTTGGAAATTATTTTTACTTGTCACTTTTTGCATGTGTTTTTCGATGGTTTTTGTAAAAACTTTTTGATCAATTTCCACATAAAGAAAACTTGTTTCATTTCGCAATTCTTTAAATCGTACATTGTTTTTAGGAAGAATTTTTGCGTGACTTCGAATTAAAATTAGACACTTTGCTTTCTGAATCCTATATGCGGCAACTATGCAATTTGAAGTCTAAGGCTCTAACTACTGACTACGTCGAAACAGATGTAAGTAAGATGTAAGTCGCACGATTCCGTGAGACTTTCTAATCGAACTTCTTCTTGTCAGTTTAGCGACTCAGACTGTACAATATATTACTTTAATGATACCCAACGTTGGTTTAAGGTATGTGTTCTTTTGTAACTAAGAACTTTCTTTGTCGCTGATAATCAGATCCGTAAGTCATGTATCGAAGCTTCTATCGCGCAATTTTTCTTCGTGTTTGATGTATTTATGGCGATATTATGGTGTGCTGAACCTCGTATCTTGAACGTTAGCTATCTGTATGTTTCAAAAAGAAAAAGTTAGCTACAATTTGCCAAATTTTGTGCATATAAGACAATCAATATTTGTGCTGCATAAATAAATTTTGTGTACTACGCGGAACTTTCCATTTAGGCTATTGAATATTTTGAGAATAAACACGTGCATTGTCGTGAAAGGTTTCATAACTTATTTCTTTTGTTATATACTACATTTTGAAAAATGTCTTTTTATTTTGATAATAATATATTTTTTTATTTTAAATTTATTATAACTAATATTCAGAAATATCAAAAATATAATATTCAGAAATTTTAACAATAAATCTTAACAGTAACGCATACTATAGACAATAGATAAAGTGGGACAAAGAGTGTCACCGAAGTAGAATTTCTGAATGCAGCCAATAGTAATGGACAAAAATGATTTTTAATATCAGCTATTTTTTTGTTACATTTGGATCCAAACAGCAATGCACCACATAGATCGTCAGTAATAGACACGCTGGAAAATCGTATAGAAATGATTGCACGGAAGATATTAATAATGCCTAACAATATTTTTAACTGGCAAAATTAATGTTATAAATATATTTTGTTTAATGTTTTATTGTAATTTTGAAGTACCTATGTGTGAAGTTTTTATCACAGGAACATAGCCGATAAAAAATAGTTTCTTCATTTTCCAATGCAAACAGTTTTTACAAGTCACTATTATACTAACAATACAATAATAATTTTATTAAAAATTATTAAAATTTTTAGCTTTATTAGTTATGATTTATTTCTTTTATACTAGAAATAACAAATGGTTACTTATTCTTGAATATTCCATATGATATTAGGGGGAGACAAGCAATTATTACAATACTATAATAGAAAAGGGGAAGGATTTTATATTCCCGGTTGGGGTACCATTGGTACCAAACGAGCGTATCATATTAATGGTTAAAAAAAAAGTCGATGAATGGACAAATGGGCATGTTATGCTTGAAGAAGAAGGTAATTATCTTTTTTTTATGTAATATTTGTGTAGATTTAATGTGTACTTAATTGTGTACCTAATTCTTTATGTAATAGTAGTATTCTTTGTTTCTCTTAGAATTTCTCTAACAATTAGACATACAACTAAGAGGCCTATTCTGTAACTTAAAAATGTATTATGTATCACTGCGCAGATATTTTGTAATAGGTGCATAATGATACGTAACATCATTAAAAATTACAAAATAAGCAATTAATCTACTTTATTTCTATCTTAACCTTAACTTAATTTTGTGTTATTTTTTCTGTTGTGTTGTGGGTGTAGACAGCCGTGCTCAATAGCCTAATACGTGCCTACACTCACATGTGTCCTACACGCATTCCTTAAGTAATATAAAAATATGTGTAGATTGATTTAAAATTATTTTTAAGACCATTAACTTATATTACGAAAAGCTTTTGCTTATTTCAATAATTATTAGTACTCTGATACTTTTGTATTCAATTTACAAAAAAATTTGAGACCTCTTATATTGAAAATTAGACTTCATCCTCACTTATTTTTAAATATCTGTAGAATATACATTATTGTGATGTAGGTAAAAAGAATGTTAGTGCTATAATAGACAATATAAGTGAGAATAGGATGTTATTTGTTTCTTCTTTCTAATTGATTTTTTTTCAGTTACTGCATTAAGAAAAGCAATCAGTCAAGACTATGACAAGCTGCGTTCTAAACTATGCTTGGAACTCGAACTAACGGGCAGCGACAGCGATAAAGAATCAGAATCTTCTGATAGCGATAGCGAATTCGAATCTTCTGATAGCGATAACGAATCAGAGTCTTCTGATAGCAATAACGAATCAGAATTTTCTGATAGCAGTAACGAATGCGTTAAAATTGAATAAAAGAAAATAAAAAGATTCAAGTTTTGTTCTAGTTAAATAGTTTAGGTAAGATTTTTTTTTTCATCGAAGTAACACATTTATGTCAAAATTTTATAAAGATATCTTCACACTCAAAAGATTTATAAAATTTAAAGCGATAAGTATTTTGATATCTTGGAACTTGAAAAATAATATTAAATAAATGTGACTTTCCAGAATTACTTACAATTTTACTTTGAACCTCTTGAAATTATCCTGCCATTTCCTGCCAATTTTTTTAACTATTGTAACTCTTCGTTACAAGTATAAATTAAAAATAGACATATATTGTAAACGAACATTAATTAGAAAGTGATACTATATTTCAAATAATTTCTTTAAAAATAAAAATATATAATGCCATTTTTGTTCAGTATTCAAACTTATTGGAGAATCCTTATTCGAAATCTTAATTATCATTTATCTCTCTAGAGGACAGTACACCTCGATATTGCGATCAACGCCATCTAATGTCCTATTATGTATTTATTCTCTCTCTTTCACTTTTCCATATATTCTATATGTATCTCTCTCTTCCCTCTAGCTTTTGTAATGCAATATGAGACTCACGAGATGGCACTGAAAACAGTGTACGCAAAAATACATTGCGTTTTTATGGTACCTTATACTCTGTCCACTCTATTCATCTATTCAATCTCTTTGACCAATCGAGTGATTGCTTGGAGTGGTTTTGACGCGAGAACCTTTTCTTTGTGATCAAGTTATTGTAGTGTCGTTCTTGTTTTGCACAATGAGTGACGATGATCGCGATATTGACATCGAAAGTGATGTAAGTAATATGTAAGTCGCACGATTCCGTGAGATCGAACTTCTGATCGAACTTCTTTTTGCAGGATGGCGACGACTCAGATTCGAGATTGAGGCACTCTAATAACACGCAATACTATTCTCAGGTATGCGTCCTTTCGTAGCTTAGAACTTTCTTTGTCGCTGATAATCAGATCCGTAAATCATGTATCGAAGCAAGCTTCTATCGCGCAATTTTTTCTTCGTATTTGATATATGTATTGCAATATTATGGTGTGCTTAACCTCGTATCTTGAACGTTAGCTATCTGTATGCTTCAAAATAAAAAAAATGTTAGCTACAATTTGCAAGATCATGTGCATGTAAAGCCCAATCTACAATGTGCTTTTTGATTTTTGTTTTTCTGCCTTTGCCTTTATGTGAAGGCATATTTTTTTTCAAAAATTCAGAAAGGAGAAATTGTAAATAACAGTATTCCTCACTTAAATAATAATAATAATAAATCACAGTATTCTTTGTCTTTATGCAATAAACACATATAAATGAAGAATACGAAAAGCAGAGAGCAAGAAACAATACACAAAAACTACATTAGTAGATCAGGCCTAAACAATCAATAACACGTTATGTGTCATATGTACCATCAGTAACATTGAACTCATTCCCATTCAGACTGTTGAATATTTCGAGTATACCCACATACATTGTCATGAAAATTTCATAATTTATTTCAAAGTATTAATAATACTTGACGATATTTTTAACTGGCAAAATGAATGTAACTTATAAATATATTTTGTTAAATTTTTTATTGTAATTTTGAAGTATGTGTATGAAGTTCTTATTACAGGAACATACCAAATAAAAAATTGTTTCTCCATTTTTCAACGCAAACAGTTTTTACGAGTCACTATTATATTAACAATACAATAAAAACTCTATTAAAAATCATTAAATTGTTTAGCTTTATTGGTTAAATTTTTTTTTATTTTAGAAATAAGAAATGGCCAGTTGTTCTTGCATATTTTATATGATATTAGGCGGAGAAAAGAGCACATCACAATGCTTTGGAAAGGAAGCGGAGGGATCACATCAAGGACAGCTTTTCGAGTCTCAGGGACGCTGTACCATCGCTGGCAGCAGAGAAAGTTGCAAGTAGAGCACAAATCCTAAAGAAATCAGCAGAATATATCCAATTCATGCGGCGTAAGAACACATCCCATCAGCAGGATATCGATGATCTCAAACGGCAGAATAGTTTTCTCGAAAATCAAAGTAACTATCTTTTTCTTTATGTAATAGTAGCGGTATTCCTTTATTGTTCCTCTTGGGGTTATAATTCCTCTCACAATTAGACTTACAACTAAGAGGCCTATTCTGTAACTTAACAATATCATTATGTATCACTGCAAGTATTTTGTAACATGTAATAGGTGCACAATGATACATAACAACATTATTAAAAGTTACAAAATAAGCCTCTTATTCTACTTTACTTTTATCCTTAACCTAGCCTAATCTAATTTAATTTTTTTTTTTTATTATATAGGAGGGGAAATCTTCGAAAGACACCTCGCGGCACAGGGTGCAATGCCGCGAGGTAGTGTGAGATTCACCCCCTCCCCCCAAGTTTTTTAGCTCTTAGGGGGGACGGCACTTACTTACTAAAACCTCTCCTCTCATTAGCCGAGCCTCATTATCCTGGCCATCCATGGTGTACTCATGGCATTTCTTCTTGGAGTGGACCCGACCCTGTGTTATGCACTTCAGGAGTAAGTCTAACCGAAGATCAGGATCTCCTTTGAAAGGACCCTGAACCTTAGATGGGAGGAGTGAGAAATCCCTTCCTGCCAATGTTTATCCCTCATTGGTCAGGCAAACCTTCAGAAAAAGCGCAGAGGTAGGAAGAGAGCCCGTCCGGACCACGGACCGTGTTATTTGGTTCTTCATACTAGGGACCAGTCGAGGACCCCGCTTGTGGCGACTCTGGTTTTGGGCCAGAGCCAGTGTCCTCATTTTTTCTTTGGGAAGATTTAGAGAGTCCTCCCTAGAGCGTTTTTCTCTCTTCCGCTAGTACGGTCGTTACAGTCGCAGAGTCCTTTCTTTCTCCAGTCAATACAGGCTTTCCAGTCTTCCTATGGGGAGGCATAGGGAGACACGCAGAACTCGCCACTCTGTGATTAGCGACTTTACCACTGGATGCGCAGATGGGGCAATGTGCTCTGTTTGTACACAACCCCACTGTATCCCTCCTGTTCGCAGTTGTAATAACAGCGAGCCTCCACGTCGGATGGGTACCGCTGTTGAAAATGTCCACACCAGAGGCACCGGAAACACTGGATCGGTCTACCCTTGTGCAGCTCAACTCGTATCTAACCTTATCTAATTTTTTTTCTATCATGTAGATGCCGTGTTGAACAGTCTGACACGTGCCCACACGCATTTTTTATGTAATATAAAAATATGTGCAGATTGATTTAAAATTATTTTTAAATCCCTTAACTTATATTACAAGAAGCTTTTGCTTATTTCAATAATTTTTAATGTTCTGATATTTTTAAATTCAGTTTACAAAAAAATCTGAGACCTCTTATATTGAAAACTATACTTTATTCTCACTTATTTTAAAATATCTGTAGAATATACATTATGACGTATGTAAAAAGAATGTTAACGCTATAATGGCAATATAAGTGAGAATAGGATGTTATTTGTTTCTTCTTTTTAATTGATTTTTTTTTTTCAGTTCGTGCGTTAGAAAAAGCCATCAGCAATCACTATGCCAACCAGGAATGCGATGTGAAATCTGAACCAACGGATATGGGCAACTACAATGATACCGAATCAGAGTCTTCTGATAGCGAAACTGGACGAAAAATTCGGCAACCAAAGAAACTAAAAGTTGCAGGTCTCCATCATTAACAACAATAACTTATTTATACTTTCTTCTGTCCCGAAACTTTATTTTTACATGACGATTGACGATATTATCTTTCCTTTGTAAGAAAATTATCATATATGTGAGGTATAAAAATGAAGTGTTAAGACAGAAGAAAGTGCCAATCAGATATATAATTATATAATTAAGTTCTTAATTATATTCGTTAAGAACTAATATTTGTAGTATCAGTGTTTAGCTATTTTATACATATAAATATTTATTAAGCACATTACATTAATATAAATTCGTTAAATTTTCGTTTGTTTACGCTATCCATCGGTTTCACCTTCAGTGCATCAACATCATATAAAATACTTGTTTGAAAATAATCAGATGCTCTATCTTTGTTTAATTTTAGTTTGTAATTTTCAATTTATTTAACACGTTCACCGCGCCAATCGTATTTTAGCTGACTTTACGCCATTTGGATTATTTCACATCTAAGAAGAGCAATAAATAATTATTTGTATATTTAATAGATAAATATGAATTTGTTCAATAATCACGCCTTACGTCGATCATCGATGACCATCACGGCGGTGAATGTATTAATGTATTAATGTTCAATTTGTAAAATTATTTCCAAAACTAATAAATTGCTATTATTTTCATTACGCATTTTGTGAATAATATCAAAACAATTACATAATCGTTTAATTTTATCACTGATAATTGTTATAATTATATAGTTTAACACCCATTAATAGAATAGAAAACATCTATTCAATCAAAAAAATTAATTTGTTTAAAAAAAACAGATTAGAGAGTATGAATATTTTTATATAGCATTATAACATTGTTTTAAACTTATTACGATCTGGTGCCAGTAACAGGAAGAAAAGAACAAAAACTCCAATTACATAATATCTATCTGCCAAGGTGTCACGGGTAATCTTTAATAGGACAGGAGAGATGAAATATTTAAATATCATTATATTTATTTAGGTATAAGTGTTATTTTACAGGATATGACCTAGGGTCCTGTTCGATACTTAAATGATTCACTAAGATAGAAAGCAGATGCGATGTATCAACTGCAGGAAAACTTAGATGCGACCGGCAAACGTGCCCGCGTCGACTTGTCCATCCCATTTCTCTACCCAAGCGTTTGGACACATTGAAGTGTAGACCCTCTTAAAGTACTGGCAGGCTTCATAATTCTCATCATGCTTCTTCCTGCATCGTTGGAAGTCTACGAAGCTCTGATAACAGTATCTGCAGATCATCAGATTTGATTAGAGGCAATCTTCAACTTTCTTTTGCCCTCCATAACAATCATGAAAGTAAAATAATGCACAAACATGTCCTCATCATACTTTTATGACAGAAGGATTATCTGTTTTCTTTTCTTTTTTTGGCTATTTTACACAATCTTTTAAATATATATTCTTAACAATAGACACGTAAAACATTGTGTCTTTTAACAAAAGTGCAGGCTGAAAATAAGAATTTGAGAGCATAGACTATAAAATGATAAATTATTAACACCGAATAAATCAATTTGAATTACCGGAACACCAAGACTTGAATTTTTTTATATCTTTTATTTGATTTTTGACAAATTTTGATATTTAATTTGATAGGTTAATATAAAAAAAAATACAGTAAAATTCAGAAACATAACAATAAGGTATTGCGTTTTATTGTACAAGAATCTGAGGGCTCGTTATACACATATTAAGATGTAAAATATTAAAAAAAAATAATTATACTGTTACACAATTTTACAATCGTGGTGCATTAATATTAAGATGTTTCATTGAAATATTAATATTGAGACCAGATTGTTTAATTCTTACCTGGTCTGATTCTGATTAGGGAATCTAGGATCGAACGGTGCGGTTTTGTACGTATCCGCTGTGATTTCCGACGCCTTCACCATACTTGCGACGATACAGGGCACTGCTCAACAAGTCATAAATTACTTAATCTCTAAATTTCAGCACGGATTTGTTTCATCCTCTCTCTCTCTCTCTCTTTCTCTCCCTCCCACTTTCTACCCCCTTTTCGCCCGTCAAAGTAAATTCTACGTTTCTCTCTCGCTCTCGTCCATTTGTCTCTCAAAACACACGCGACACTATATCACAAATAAATCCGCTGCTCCGGACACTCCGCGTCCTCGTCGTGTGCCTTTCGTTCGGATCGTTACAGAGAAGTCTTACGGCGCTGAACTTGAACGAACGCGACGCTTGCGAAACGAAACGAAACGAATGAAAGGAGCCTTCAAACAGCAGTATCTATTCCGCGTTTTCTTAAGAATAACGTGAGCTAACTACAGGTGTCTTAGAAGAAAAGTAATGAGTCGAAGTACATAAAGAAGGGCAACGTCGAAAATGTCGAAGCTATTTGACCAACGGCCGTGTGTTGTCCTCCTCCTGACAGCAGACTTCTCGATACTTCTTCACCTCCGCCATGTACAGCGACCACGCGTCCTTCGGCTGTTCCACCGTCTGTTCTGTCTTTGGCTTTGCCACCATTCCGGTCTTTAGAATTCTACCGCCTCTTCTCTTGCCCACCATTAACGGCGGCGGCACCACATGCTTCTCCTCCAGCACGGAAGTGGTGGGTTTTTGCACGGTGGGCTGCATTTGCTCTTGCATCTTCTTGAACATCTCCATGAAGCTACCATCATTCTTGAAGGCATTTGGCTGCGGGGCAACAGTCGCCGTCTGATGCGTCGCCATTCCGGCCTCTTCTCCGTGATCCTCCAAAGCATCCGACTCGTATGACGGTGCTCTAGCGTGATGCCTGCGGCTTTCTTTGTACCTATGCCTGTCTTTGCTGCGATTACGACTGCGACTCCGTCTTCTGTCCCGCGAGCGGGATCTGCCGCGCGATCTTGATCGCGATCTATCTCTTCTGGAATATTTGCGCGACCTTTCTCGATCGCGGTCGCGATCACGATCGCGATCCCGGTCCCGGTCGCTGGATCTGGACCGTCTGTGGGAGCGCACCGGGGATGGTCGTGAGCCACTACGGCGACGCTTGCGTCGCTCCTGGAGTGGCGAGTCGTTCCGCGAGGATCTACTGCTTCGATGGTAGTCCACGGTGGGCGAAGGCGAGTGCCGCGTGCTGACTCGGCTCTTGTGACCGTCGTGTGTCGTGCTGTAACCTGTACTATACATGGGAGGCGAGGGCGGAGCGGGTGGCGATTCGGTATTCGACCTGGTGCTGCGTTCATACCGCTTTGAATCCATCACGCTGCCGGGCCGACGAGCGGACGTACACGGACACACCTACAAGGATAGAAACTGCCTTCCATAAGTACACGGCTCATTCCAGATCTCTGCGCCTTCATCTGACTTTGGGCTTTTTTTTTAAATGTGCATTTTCGCGAGAGACAGACGAACTTAGAGCGAGAGAGCATAATGTAATCAGATAGTTCAAATTGAGAAACGACAAAAGACAATAGATAAACAGTGAGAAAGAGAGGATGCTTTATAATTAATCAAGGGCATTGTATGCAATCGCCAAACTGTGATTCATTGAATAATGTATTGTTAAAGAGCACAAAAGAGCACAGCATGGTGATTGTACTATTTGGCAGAGTGTTTCGAGACAAGAAGGGACTTGTATCAAGAAGAGAAACGTTGGAGTGATCGTAAGATAACTAGACTTTGAACATATTACCTACTCGTTTTTTCAATACCACAAGTACAAATATTAATCAAGCTCAAGATATATAAATCCAGAAGGACTTGCTAATCTCTTTCACTTTAAAAACCTTACTGCTAACCAAACCCTAGATGTCGCCAGTTAGTCTCAAGAATCCCTCACTCTTTCAAGGTGAAGAATGAGGGGAATAAATAATCGCGCGGATTCTACTCGAAGATCGAAGCGAAGGGAAGCATGTTACTGGAAGATTTCGGGCTCAAATGTTGAGATGAAACGGAGAGGAAAACAGGGAGGAAACGCGAGCTGTCTCTGATGACTTCCCCTGAGATCTACTACCGGGATGGCGACCATCCTCCTACGGCTACGTGCCCCGCGCGAGCGGATATTACTGTCTCGTCGAGCGTCTCGCTGGACAGCCTAAATTAACGCTAATTATCTATATGCGTAATACCTTAATCTGCCGTGCGGTTGGAAACAAAATGGCCACTAAGAAACACTGTCCAGACGACGACTTCGCGTTACGTCATGCACTTCGACAAGAAGTTCCTCGCCGACGAACGGACGGAAACAGTTCGTCTCGAACGTTGTAATATATAGAGAGACGTTTCCACTGATGCGTACAGACATCTAGGAGTGCGCTTTTGCATCGCACAGTCAAAACAGTCGGTAACAATCGTTTTTCAAGTTACCAACAACTCTTTGATAGTTACGAACATTTGTCCAGCTGTCGCTAGTATACATATAAATGTCACCGCATAATACTTTTGCAAAGATTAGCAAAAATGATTGAGCCGCGCAGTCATTTGGACTTTGCAAACCCACAGATCTGAGTTCACGCACTGCGATCGCACATATATACACATATACAGTTAAACTCACATTCCCGCATCACACAAGTGATTAAGAATCTTGAAAGAGAAACAGTTAAAAATAGTGATTCGGACGCCGGGTCTTGCTGTAAGCGTTGGCCAAATAGGCATAGTTCTTAACGGTCCTTTATATCTGTATTTTTAAAATGCGGTAATTATAATAATTTATAATACGAAAAAGAATAATTGTGCATACTTTTTTATATTACATACATTTTTATGTAATTTAATCAAGTTTATTATATTTACAGATATATTGAAAATAAATGATTGCCTGCACATAAGTAATTAAAGTATCTATTAAATACATATCCATGTATTGCATAATATAAAAAGTATGCACAGTTATATCTTTTTTGTAATATAAATTACTCTATTTTTTTTGTTCAATGTGTCCAAATATCCCTATTAATCTTTTTGCTCAATTTACTATAGAATATATTATATTAGAATATTATATTTTTTCAATGTATCTGATATAGATTATAATTTCAGATGACCAAATACTGGCAGTATTAGCAGATTTACAGCAAATTTGACCAAATGTTTCTGTTCCATATTTTTGCTGTATTATATTACAATGTGTAATATTACAACATTGTTACAATATAACTGCCCAATTTTGCGCTGTATGGGATATGCGACAAAGGTGTTACGCATCCTATAGAAATAACGCCGGCTATAATGACCCGGCATTAAAATCTCCTGACATCATGTCTACCTGGCGTCGATATTACTTTCCCATGATGCCAGTATATTATTAAACTCTTCAATCGTCTCCCACAAAATAATAATTTTTAATTACTTATAAGTATTTTATTTATGTTAGTTCAAATAAATTAGCTTTTTCCGATCACAATTTAGTAAAATAAATGTTGAATATCTAATTATTAATAAATGATGTGATAATTGTTTAAATATGTTATATTACAAAAGTTTTCAAATTAATGCAAATAATATAAAATCAAATTTTTTTTTTAGATTTTCTATTAAAAAAAAACGTATTAATTAACAATTAAATCAATTATACCATATTATGTCATGTTAAAAATAAATTATTTTTTACATTTAAGTCAACAATAAGTCATTAATAGTCCATCAATTAAACCAATAATTTTGTCATCTTTTTTTAGCCTTCAAAATATCAGCGCAGTGTAAAAATTCATGCAGTATTACAATGAAAATTGCGGAAGTTATTGATTTATAATATGGAGAAATGCGTCAATTTCATTACGACGATGCGACGCGACATCGCGAAATATCTCCCTCTTCTTCTCTCTCTCTTATCGCGGGAGTCCTTGAAGTTCTCCAGGTCGAAAGAGAGGGGAATCGTGCACCAGGCTCTACGCTGTAAGTTTTGACCTTGTGGCATTTGGTACCTGTCCGTACCAGCCGATGCGCATACAACTCCACACCCAATACCACAAGCGCGCGAGTAAAATCACGAAGTGCCATCTCCATCTCTCTTCGATTCTCTATCTTTCTTTCTCTTTTTCTATCCTTTCCTCTCCTTCTCCTATATCTTTCGTCTATTCACTCGCGTTCACGCAACTTACACGCACGCGTATACCGCTGGCGACGTAACGGGGACGTCAACTGTGCGACGCGATGATGATGTCGCACGTCACAAAATTATGACTGAACCTTTGATTATATCGATTTTATATTGCTAAATATTAATTCATCCGAAATAACTCCGCCGTTAAAGAACAGGTTTCTTTCAATTCTTTTGCAACACATAATTTTTTTATTAAAAACTTTTTTTATTTATTAAAAGAATTAACGATTTGATTTTCTTTTTTTGCAGATGCATCGATAGACCTGCATGTAATTGTATTTTTTTAATAAAACAAAAAAATGAAGTTAATCTTCTTTGATGGTGCTTTAATTTTAAATATAAAAGTATTAAGGTAAGATTACAAATATTTTATTAGATAAACAAATATTTTATTTTGTGTCGGAACATATAAGTCTTTAGATATGTATGACTCGTTATTGAGAAAAGAAAAAGGAAAAAATTTCGAAAAAGTTAAAAGAACTAGAAAATCTAAAAGAAATATATATGTTTCCTTAATATAATTATGCTAGGCTGCAGAGTGATTGTTATTCCAAAGTAATTCGATTTTCGTAATGCCACGCGACAGAGTCTAATGGATGTCAATTGTGCCACTTTGTCAGAAAATGCGCTTCGTCAGACGGCAAGGTCAGCGATATCGAATTCAGTGATTTTCTTCATTTTCTTCGCCTGAACAGACTTAAAGACGGTCATCGAACGCAAACGGTCATCATATGAACCATCGCATCTTTCATCGCGACCGCTTACGAACTTATAATGAAGTTTCGCAAGGTGGGAGGAGGAAACACGACAATTCGTAGTTACATCGTGGAATTTTCCAAATTCGCATACTGGCGCGTGCCAACGATTCAAGGTAAGATCTAGAATTTAAAACTCCGAGAATTCAGAGCTATTACTATGACGCAAGTTCGGGATAATAGCCATTCGAGGATTATCAGGAAACGTTGGCACTGAGCCAAGCGGGAATTGTAGACTAAAGATGTGAAACAACAAAAATATAAAATAAAATTAGGCTGCAATAAATTAACAAAAGCTACATATATTGAAAAAGATTTTTATAGATCTATAAACGTGGAGCGTCAAATCTAGAATTGGTTCTCCAATATTTTTTGGTACAATTGTTCAATATTTTTACGATCAAAATTTTGCAGTATTTATAAACTTGTCAACTCTTGGAGAGAAATAGTTTTTAATCACGTGTTTTGTCTGTTTCGCCAATCTCGTGTGAAAGTTTCTATGGAAATCGTTCTTTTCTACAACAGCGCTTTCCAGAGAGTTATTAAACATTTTTTAAAAATATATACCACATAATATCAAGATTGTTTTTGTTAAAAGTTAACACACTGGCTACTTTATTAATATTTTATCAATATTTAATTGTGTGAGTAAAAAAAGTCTTTTTTTACTTGGTTATATCATGATGGCAATACTGAATATTATTAATATCTTAATCGTGTTATTACAAAGAATGGCAGTAAACAAAAAGTACGATAAAACACACATTTGTGCACGCAATATTAGCAATGTTAAAAATGTTATAATAAAACTGATAGCAATAAAAGCCAGTTTTAAAATGCTACAATGCTATAAAATTTGAAACGCAATAGTTTATGAAGGAATAATATTTTTCCAATTCAAGTTTGCAAAATATGGCTATTGAAAGTGAAAAATATAAGACTAAAGCATTTTGGAAAATATTTATTTATTTCTGTATTTTCTAAATTATTATCTCTGAAAATATTTCGTGTTTGCACTTTTCATATGTTGCGAATTTGAAATCAGTACGAGTCTCGCGCGTTCTTCTTTACCAAACCTGGCAACGGGCCCTCCCCCCTTCCCGTGATGATGATTAGGAGTCAGGGGACGCAAGGACGCCATGTTGGGTCCGTCTGCGCGCCGCGTCAGTCGCCCGATGACTGCGACCGTGTAAACGTCGTACACACGAGTCATGATTTGAACTCGCGTTCGCTCGTACCGCGTCATCGTTTTACTTTTTTTTTTAATTTATTTTGTTGCGTTTTTGCATTTTGCTTCCGCGGAACCGCGCGGAACAGATAGAAAGTTCTCATTCGGAAAATCTGGCGAAAGTGAAGACCGGAAGAAATCCGTATATTAACATATATCTGCGTGCGAAGTGCGTGCTTGTGACTCTTCTTCTCTGACAGAGCGCGGGTGCGAGAGAACGAGAGAAAGAGAAAAAACGAATAAAAAGAGGGACCACGGCGTGCGATGGCTGTGCGGCCACGCATCGGCCCTTCCGGTGGTGAACTCGCTTCCGGAGGTGCCAAGGATTTCGCCGGAGCATCCGTCGTGCGATGGACCACAAGGACTACACTGGTCGTCGCGGCAGTGCTTGCCGTCGTCTTTGGCGTCGCCGATGTCGTAGCTATCAGAACGGGTGAGTACACGTCTTACCGTAGCTGCTCAAATCTGCGATTTAACCTAACCTAATCCTTTATGTTTTGCCACGATTATAAAACTGGCCTTTGATAGATTTGACAAGTTGAGTGAATGTGAATTCTTGAAATGTCAAATGCGTTGATCTTCAGGATCGAATTGGACTTATTAGTGATAAAAAGGTAGAATGGTACAGGTGGTCTTGAGTGTTTTACGAGTTTTGGCTTTAAAGATTCATAGAGCCTTTTCGTCATTTGTTAAAAGTAACATGCACTAATTAATCAATGATTATTGCTCTGCACAAACGCGTTCGAATGAAATATTTCGAATTGAATATATATAATTGCGTACAATTTTATTTTAAATTAATAATAATACGTTAAAATAAATAAAATACAATCACCGCGTGATTCATTGAGATTAACCGTTACACTCGCGATCGCCGCGTAGGCAATCGTCGATTATAACTCGCGTATAACTTTCTTATTCGTCGTAGTTCCCCGAATTCTCGGCAGTCCATCGAAAAAACTTCGCTCATTTCTTTCGTCCTTATTTCACGGCGACTATTCTTTCGCCTGTCTAGGAATTAACTATTATTTCTCGTCTAGCGTCTATTTTCTTTAAAAGTTTCTCACAATCAGTTGTACGTGTCTCAATAATATCACAACACGCAATTCCCGAATATCACAACACAAACCTCGATCAGTTTGTCATTCAATTTTAAAAATTTCTAAACTAATTGTTAATCCTATGTTTCTTATCAATTCTATTTTTATCAAAAATTATTTATTATTACTTGTTATCTCTAAACATTTATCGCTAAAATCCTACTTATTTATTTATTTCTTTGAAAGATTATCATTCACTCTAGATTCACCTTTTGGTTCAACTTTTTTTCGTTATTTTAATTATCAACGCTGTTATTTACTTTTATCATGGTGTAACAGATAACGTTTACTTTTTTTGATATTCTCAAGAGGAGAGAAAAAGGAGGGAATAGGTGGAGACAGAAAAGATACAAACCGGTTTTACGAGAAGAAGCTGGAATATAAAAACTATCTACTTGAATTTTTTGTTTTGTTCAATCATTTTCTAGATTTCCATACTTTTCCTATCGACTACCCTTTTAAGATATATCCATCTTGCGCCTCTTAAGAAACCGGTTTTATCTCAAAAGTGTGACATAGTATTTATAGCTGGATTCAATGGTTCTGAAAAAGTTCTAGATATTTAAAGAAAATAAATTTTTTAATGATTAGAAATCATTGTGAATTTTATTCACAGTTCTCAAAGAGTATATAAATAAACGGTGAAACTTTCCCACTATAATTTAATATGTGTCAGAAATACTGTAAATAGGAGTTACATTGACTTTTCTCGAGCTACTTTGGCTCATTGTCAGTGTAGAAGAAAGGCGTGCGAGAAGAATGTCAGTCTTATTGTCAGCAAGATTGCTTTGTCATTTGTTACGATATTTGTATTGCAAAAAGGTTTAATATTTTTTCCCCAGGTTGAAGTTAATTTTTATATTTGCTTCATTTCATTATTAATTATTTTAGGAATATAAAATTAAGAAAAATTAAGAAAGATAAACAGAAAAACGATGCACATTAAAATATTGGTAATTTTGTTTTTCGAATGTTTTAAATAAAAAGCTTGTTTTAAAAAATTCGAAAAATGAAATTATTGATAGCTTAACATGCACCGTTTCTGTATCGCATATTTAATGTTCTAATCATTTATTAATTTAAAAATCTGAAACTTTAATACAGAATGTTCACTAAAAATAAATGACAAGCAAATGACACTTCGACTGCAAGGCAAACGATGCCTTCTGATGATCTGATGGTCATTTCGCAAGCAATATTAATAAAAAGTTTTTTTTTTTCGTCCACACAAACACACACTCGACATAATATATGCAATCGCGAAGATAAGGCCGGCAACATCAGAAGATAAATATCAATATGTTGACGATTGGCTAAATTAAATCTCTGACCACGATGAACTCGTTACTCAATCTGGAGTGCGTCGGCCGTCTAAAATTTTATCAATTCAATTTGAATCTTTCCTGCAAGAAACAGGATAAGAGTTTTCACTTACTTTTAATCTATTATATGAACCTCTTTGATTTTTGTTATTGTAACTTTATTTCATCACTATATAATACAAATAATTAGTGCGGAAATAATTTATTTTAAATTACGTATATATAATTCCATTTTAATTTACAAAAGAGAAATGTATCATGAATAAAAGAATAGACACTTAGTTTTGCGTAGACAGGAAGTCATTTTTCAAGATCTTTAATCTCAGAAAGTGCAAATAAAAATGTAACGAGAAAATGCAGTGAATATCTTTTTAGTAGAATAAAAAACAAATCGCTTTATACAAATTTTAATACATTTTGGATTGATTTTTTGAGTTCAGAAATTCAAGCACTTCACAATTGCAAAAAGTTTATGCACGTTATTGTGGGCCACAGGAGAAATAAGTGAGACGAATCAGTGGGTCAACGAAAGGATGCTCGTACTCGAGAGCGCCGCGAGTCTGCAAGCTCTGATTACTGCAACGCACGCAGAAGACGAGAAAGTTCTTTTCCCCGAAAAGTCAGCAGTTCTTTAACGGATTTAGCGTCGATTTCTGTTTAACATAAGTCAAATTGATGACACTTTTCTTCGCAACTTTTTCATTTTCAATTTTACTTGGACTGCTAAATGGTATAAATGGTTAATTTTGTTGTCATTCGATTTGTAATGTTTGAACAGTCAACTCAAGCAGTTGTTCAAATTACATTTTCATTGGTTTCTCCTGTGTCCTTCAACAATGTAACAGATATCAGAAGTACATATGAGAATCGGTTTATAGTAATATAATAATTATATCACATTAATTGAATTTAAGCAAAATTGCTGAAAATTTTCAGGCATTTTAGATTTATATTAGTAAATTTTACTAACGGGATCAACGGTTTAAATAATTTACGAAAAAAATTATGAAATAGCCATCTGTTTGAACACTCAATTATCTTAGTAATTATATCTCGAGTGCAACAAACTCTGTTAAAAACCACCGAAAGTCATTTTGATTTAAAATCAATAACTCAAATAAATTTCTAATTTGATCTGACATAATGAGGAATTTTTCCGAAATTCTCCAAAAGAAAAGACAACAGCTTTTACAATCGAAAGAAGCGATGTTTTCTGAATACGAAACCGAATAGCGGCATTCGTAGAAACTTACAAAGTCACGATCGGCTTATTGACAACAGCGGTCGACTGTTATAAGAACAAACTCCTGTAAGATGAGCGAAAAGAAATTGCAACAATGTCGCCGTGATAATACAGATAATAAATAGCAGCAATTAATTTTTTACAAACCGTTTTGCAGACCTGCCTTTGTTTATAGAAAATTAATCCAGCTTCAATTTCTACACTAGAACTTCGTACTTTTTAACACAGTGTCTCTATATATAGTGTGTCTCTCTATAGTTACATTGATTTTATTTGCGTCTAAACGTGATATGGTCACGTGCGATCGATCGATCGTTGCTATGTTGAAGCACACCAGACTTATTGTTTCAATCATCAAAGCGAACTAATAGGAAAGAAGTAACATTATTAATAGAACAGATAGAAAAAATAGTGGGAAAATTCATTGTCAAGCCCGGTTTGCAAAGCAATACATATTATTGACAATTGTTTGCCCGATAAGTAATGCTATCGATTGCAACACTCTAATTAATCTAGTGCACGATTTTCAAAACCACTAGATGAGGCTTCCCAGAACCCGTTGGAAAATGGGCGGCTGGTGCGGCGTGGACAGGCGTGAGGCGTCGAATAAATTTGTAGGTGAGGAGGGAAGTCCGCGCGAGCGAGAGAACCGGCCGTTCTCCAGCGTTTGTCCTTCTTCCCGGCTTGCTTCTCGTGTTCGTTCGTGCAGAGTGTAGCGAGGGCTTTCCTCGATGCTGGCAGGTAAAGTCAGTAGGCGGGCTCAGGTTCGTTCACCTCGGCCTAGCGGCCGACCAGATAGCGGGACCCTGGCTTTCCAGTGGGCCCGTCATGCTCGTCGTCTTCGTCGTCGTTGTCGTCGTCATCCTCCTCATCGTCGTTGTCGTGGTCGTTCGATTGTACCGGCCAGTATGTATATTCGTGTAACATGTTCGCAAGATTGCATTCGCACATTCGTATCGACAGCACCTACATATTTCTTCGTATATATCCTAACGCGCTCGGGCATCTTCGCATCTGCGAGATTGTATGTGTCCGCGATATCTTGTGTATACACACGCATGTATTAAATTATTGTACCGGCGGCTTCTCTCTCTCTCTCTCTCTCTCTCTCGGCTCTGCAAGCCGTTAGCTACTTGTGTTAATTACATTTCAAGAAATTTATTTTTCTTTTGTAGAAACGACAACTAAATGAAGCAATTTGCACTATTATAACTCTGGCACAGCAATCGTTATTTGCTGTTTGCCTTTTTTCTGCCTGCACAGTTATATTTATTTGTATTTGTTAATTTTATTCCAACTTATTTCTTATAACAAAATTTACGATTCACGTAACCAACAATAAGTGACAAATTAAATTTCACTTTTCACTTACATTCTTAAAGTTTAATTCGTTTCATTGTTAAATAGCTATATGATTCTTAATGTGGATTTTATGTTTCTTGATCTAATTATTCGTATTTGTAATTGAAAAGAAATGTTGAGATACTCTAGATTTATAAAAATATTCTGTGACACGATAGAGTTTGGAATAAACATTTTTTCACTGTTATTATTACGACGAAAAAAATATAGATCTATCATAATAGATTGATTATAATAACATCAAACAGTATTAGCGATTCTTAATTTTCTGCAGTGAAAAAGAAAGCGCAAAAAACTGAGATTGAGCATGTTGTATCAACGCGTATTTAAAGTCAACGTCAATGAGTTGCAGGAAGTATGTATAGCATATCGTGAAATTGCTCGATAAAGAGAAGCGCATCGAATG